CAACCCAATGCATTATTGCTTATAATCATTACTTGTATTTCATATTATTAATTTTAGAAGTGGTAAAAAAACAATTATACCTTCTTATTCCTTTTTCCCTTTGTATATTTTACAAGCAAATCCTAGAGGAAACCATTGAGGTACTGAGACTGTGCTCCTGCTTACATAAACTTTACATAAACTTGACTCATTTTTTCTTGTTCACTTTCTAAACACAGTGATTGCACAGAGAAGCAATAATACTTTAATCTTTAACCTTCTTTTATATGTGTGCATGTATTAATCTCTCTCTCTCTCTCTCTCTCTCTCTCTCTCTCTCTCTAAGAAGGAGAATATGGTTATGTTACAATTCTGGAACCTGATTCGATCTTAAACAGTAAACGTTTAAGGTGGATTTGACAGTTAAATGTGAGACTTGTTTCACATCTCATATTGGTTTACAGTGTGATGATATTCTCACATTCCTGACAGCCTAAGTCCATGGAGAACACATCACTTAATTTTGTGCACTGGCAGAATAGAACAAGCTGCCTTTGTTTCAAGAAGGAACTTCCTTTGGATCACAGCTCTGGAATGGTTTTGGTATTTTAGTTGTTGCTGTATCAGGGAGAAGTAATTATCTGGATTGTGGGCACGTCTACACATCCGCTTGAATGTGCAGTAGCCTATTCTACTGCACATTAAGGCGGCGTGTAAAAAACTGGGCTAATACACTAAGGTGCAGTAGAATAGGCTACTGTGCTTTAAGCATCACTGAAAAAGAATGTGCTCGTGCTACTGCACATTAGTGCAGCCTAATGGACATTTTAGTGCATCATATTGGAAGTCCCAAATTTGATGTGCATTAGGAAAGCACATCAATGCACGTGTAGACATGCCCTGTCTGGATTAATATTTCCAAAAGAAATGCAGTTAGAAAAGGGGAATAAGATCCACTAATGCTGATGCAAGGCATTGAGCAAATCACAGGGGTCATCCTCTCGCTTTTTTTAACAATTCTGAATGAGTTGTTAAGTAAAGTAAAACTTCAGAAAGGAAAGGGAAATACCCACTTTTTTATGCATTAAAAATGGAGCTGGCTGCCCCTAAAGTCAGGGATAGACTCAGGAGTCCCCCCACATTAAGGAGAGAGTCTGGGAGTTGTGCTCAAGCAAAGTATAAGAGCTTCCAGATTCCCAATGGTGTGAAATGGATCCTGGAAGCCCTGAGAAAATCCCCTTCCCACTCCTCCCAGTCCTGTGGCAGAGACTCTGGAAACCCTGGTTTGAACTGCAGTTCTCAGGGCTTTCAGAATTCCTGATGCGAAGCTGGGATCTGAACCTGGAGGCAAAGTTTCAGACTGACATATCACAGCAGGGAGCTTGAATGCACTGAGGTCACTGGCCTTAATGTAATCTGCATGGCAGGGGTAGCTTGGAGTCATCTGCTCCTTAACCACCCATATCTGTGAAGGTTACAGCAACATTATTGTTATCAATACAAAATACTAATTTAAGAGTAAATGCTCCACTTAGGGTTTGCATTTTAAACAAACACTTGAAAATTTACCGGACACCTACTGACCGGAAGATTAGATTTCCTTAATCACTTGGAAAAATAACTAAACCAGGGAGTTCACTTGGGGAGAGCTCCATCCAAAGCTGGAACTGAAAGATAGGACCCGAACCCTTGTTGTGGATCATGTCTGGACCTATGTCTGGACTCCATCATTCATCCCAGAGTTCAAGGAATCCTGCATCATCTTGGCTACTGGGAGGAATTGGTGTTTTCTTACTCTACCCTTTGCCACTTCCTAAACTTCCTGGCAGTTGTTGGAAGTCCAGCTCTGTGTGTGTGTGTGTGTGTGTCTACGTCTGTGTGTCTGTGCATGCACAGGTATCCATAGCTCTGCTCCTTCCACAACCTGCTGGCTGCGATGGGGAGGACCTCTTTGGTATTAGATCGTTCTTTCCATTTCCCTCTGAATAGCTTAATTTCTCGACCATGTTGCTAGTCATAATATCACAAGCAGCATCAGAATGAATTTGATATGATATTTATTGGCTTCAATGTTGCTCACTGGCTTAGCAGCAGTGATAGAGGCAGGGATCTTTTCACTGTCATTCTGTTGCTGCTCCTGATGATGATGATAATGAAGAAAACTATGAACTTCAGCAATGGCATTAGAACTGCCTGCAGATTCATGAAGGCAACAGAATTTGATTTCACAATTTTATGGTTATTTTATTCTTCATTGACATAAGTATAGGGCATTCCTTTGTCTTATGTAGAAAAGTTCATTTGAATTCTTGGTATTTCCTCCAGATTCATCCAACAGTTGGAGTGTGGGTGGTGGCCCCATTACCCATAGAAAACATGAGCTCAATTATGGTACTTCTGTTATAAAGAGAAACAAACAGAAGTAGCCTCTCAACAGTGCCAACATAAAAATAGAAGATGTGCCATCAAGCACAATTATACATTAATAATAAGTGTGACTAAGGTGTGGAAACTTTTTCAGCACACTGTATATAATATAGAATTGTATATGTACATAAACAATACATATAACTTGTGCTGTATATTATATATCTAGAAACTAAATGTTCAAAATAGTATGCTATTACCGTTTTAGGACTACTGTATATTTATCCTGATGTAATAAAATTATATTCATATGTCTGAGGGGAAGGAAAAAAAATTAATCCATTCTGTGGTGTAAAAAACATCAAGGAATTGATATACTGTACTCTTAATTGTGCAATTTTCAGTCCTTTTCTTAGACTGTAACTTTCTAATTTTAGGTTTTAGGCTAGGAAACATTTACTTTTTCTCTGTTAAAAATAATCAAACAATAGCTGTTTTCCCTTGAAATGTTTCGATTCCGGTTAAAGTTTCCTAAATTTGTTAGTGAAAGGAAAAACATTGCTTTGGTTTTAAGGACGCTCATTATGTGGCTCTATTTCAATTTACAGAAGCTCTTTGTTTACAGTCCTTTTTGGTCTTTACATTATTGTAAACTTAAAGGGGGATGCATATTTGAAGGGAGGTAATTTAAAAAGATACATCCCGCTGCTTCCCATTAACTCACTCCGTCTCATAGCCTCTTGAACAAATATGATCTGAGCTTTTGAAACAAAGAATGTATGTTGAGAAGCTGACATAAAAATAATGGATAAACAGATGCAATACTTCAATCTTTGTGCACTTCTCCTGGCAGGAGGTAACTTTATTTACAGGAGGCCTGGCCAGTGAACAAAAAGAAAACAAAAAAGAAAAGGGAAACCCTATCAACCAAACAAAAGAGGATAATACTTAGCTAAAATCCTTTTGCTTTGCGCAGGTGTAGTGGTAATCAAATAGTTGCGGAGTTAATGGCAGAGTCCAAGCAGCTGTGTGTGCTGAGACACCATAGCTAGCGAGACGGAGCTCTCATTGGGATTCTGCAGAGCTAGTCGGAGAGAGTCCGGTCCATCCAACCCCTTGAGCTGTCAGGAACAACGTTGGGCTCTTTTCTACTATAGCCCACGCAGGCGTCATGCTGAGAGATCTAAGCAAATGTAACAGAAAGCAAGTCGAGCACTTGCACTTCGTCTGACAGGGAGCTGCTTAAGATAATCCAAAAGCTTCAAGAATGCAGACAGAATTTATGGCTTGGCAGTATGGAGTTTTCTTTTAATTTTAATTAAGTCAAAGAAGTCCTTGATTCCACGTACTGTATGAGGACGACTTGTAGAGCACTTCTTTGGGATGAAATGGCTTTCACTTCATGGCAAATTTTGTCCCCAATGCAGTGGGCGCGATGGATGTGGACAGCTGTGAGAAGTACCGGAGACTACAGTCTCCTAGCCATGCAGAGACTCACTGGAAATAGGCAAGTCAGTCCTGTTTTTCAGGAAACCGTCACCCCATTCAATTCATTGTATTATAGACCAGTGGGAAAAACTGCATCTGACCAGCAGAAATGCTTGCTAAGTAATTACCAAGACAGTATTGTAACAGCATTTTTTGCTCAACAAAGTTATATGAAGAGAAATCAAAATGTTATGCTGTAGTTTCATTTCGTCTATAAAAGCAAATAGCTAGAACAGTTTCCTAAAGTGGTCTTCCCTTTAATGCAATTTGTTATGTCCTTGTGTATAGCCCCTCTCACCCCATTACATTTTTAGGTTAACCATCTCTTTGTACAGCTGTAGTCTTTTAAGCTTGCATTTCATTTGGTTGGCACCATTTTTCATAGCTTCCTTTATGTGCTTTCACCTCTTGTGCACCTTCTGTTTTCTATGTGTTTGTGATGAAGGAGGGGTAGAAATGTATTATTGATAGCATATAAAACTCTAGTCATTTACCAGCCTCGTCTTATCTCGTATAACAAACCAGTACGCTTACTACTGCCTAAAATGCTGCGTAAAAATACCACTATGATGAAATGTGATATTTCTGAGGGGTTGGGCGGTGCAGAAGTTTGCTGCTCAGTCACTTATCCAGTTATAGTGTATGTGCTAGCTAGCCTGTAAGCACACATATAGAAACCTAATACTAGATCATTTTTGAGTGCGTCTTTAATAGGGCCCTGAAACTCTCCTGAGAAGCTCCCTTTGTTTTTTCCCTGAGTTGGTTTGCATATGATCACGCCAAGAAAAGTTTCAGAAACTCTTCAAAAGGTTCCATTGTTGTCTTTCCTTTTCGAGCCTCCTTTACACTGCAAAGCAGGCTTTTCAGGAAGTGTTTACTTTTTAAGTGCATGTTCACTTTTGTGACGCGCAGAAATCTTCAGCGGTGCAAAAGATTTCTTCAAAGAGAACCTGCAGTCATGATGTTCTGCCCTGGACATCATACTGCAGAGTCACCTGGGTGTAGTCTGCCTTTGGGAAATGCAGAGGCAGACTGACGACTGAGCTTTGCTTCCCTCGACTCAGAAAGCCTTGCATTTAATAGTCTGACCTGTCCCTTCCAAATTTGAACGCTCACTCGATGCCATAAGCCCAGGCTGTTAATGAGGCTCTTATTTTCTGTTTTAGGAGCTCCGACTCTGAAGAAGCATTTGAGACACCAGAATCCACAACTCCAGTAAAGGCTCCACCTGCCCCCCCGCAGCCACCACCGGAAGCAGCCCCGGCAGCTGACGCCGCAGAACAGGAAATCAGGCAACCGTTGCCTTCAGAAGACACAGGTAATGAGCATATAACGAATGGGCTGGATCACTCTGGAGGATGGGACTGCAGGGACACATCTCTGGTAATAGCAGCAAAGAAAGGATGCTAATAAAATGATTGCTGAAAGATTAGTTAGCATGTGTCAGGCCTTCACACTGAAAAAAAAATCACTCTCTCCAGGCCCGATTCTGAGCTGCATTGGCCCGTGGGAGGTCATGTCCCCTCTGTAGAATGCAAGGCAGTGTATAAAAAGCAGGGGTTCAAGTTTGGGTCCACTCTACATCCCTTTTTTTACCTTATGTAAGGGTGTGAAGAAACAGTCTCTCGAAAGACAGTTGTATCAGATGAACCTTTCATGCACTTTTATTCTACCATTTTGGGACACCCAGACTGCAGGTTATCTGCTCACTATTGCTCCCTTAGCTATAAGACATACACCAGTGGAGCCAAGGGTTCAGCGGTCCTGAGAAAGGAGAGGTCCAAAAGAGGTCTTCTGCGTAAGCTGCCACTATATTTCTTGTCCTCAGGGCTCATGGCAGTCCATAACTGTCCAGAGGTTACTCCCAGTGAAACACCAGCCAAGTCCTCTCACTTCTCTACAGTACTTTGAAAGGGAAACTATCAGATGAAAATTAACTCAAATTCAGACAAAAGACAGAGATGTCATTACAGAATATGATATCCCCCTCTTAGGTTTTGTGGGTTTGCATATTGTCCGTAGGAAAATATGGCTATGCAGGAGGGTAAAATGAGACAGTCAGCTGCAAAAAAATAAAGATTTCCCTTGATCTTTTAGTAATTGTAGGTGTTACTTATAACTAACAGCAGTTTAAAATGACCTTTTTTTAGTGTTGGCAGTCTTTGTAAAACAATCTGAAAGAACCAAGCATAGCTATATTGTAAAATATCCCACTTTGCATGCAAATATAAGTGCACTCACTGTTTTTTTGAAGATGGACTATGTCACACACCTACATATTTGAAACATTGTGCCTTCACAGAATGGTTTTTACTCTGCAGGATTTCTAATGAGTATATCACTTATGAAAATACGGTGTTCACTGTGTTTCCAAAGGCTAGGTGATATGAGAATGGATTGCAAAGTTGTATTTTATTCAGCGGTCAGTTTATTGCATATTAGAGTGTCTTCTGGAAAATGAGATGTTGCAAGGAGAAATATTTTGCAGTTGCCAGAATCATTTTGCTGTGGCTTTTTTTTGTTTTAATATTATAGTTTGTATGTTTTAAACATTGCAGGCTGTCCAGTTTTCTAGTTAGAACTTAACTGTTAATATTTCTATTTGGGGGTCATAAGACTTCTGTTATGAAAACAAGCAACTTCCTGCGCTCTTCTCTCTTGTGGAATTACATTGCAGTAAGCTAGTGGAGTGTCAGGTTTATAACACTGTTTATGGGACAAAGAAATACAAAGGAGTTTAGAGAATTTGCATGTGGGTTTTTCATATTAAATCAGCATCCTTATTTCCAGTGTTGTGGGAATTGTACAAAACTAGTCCAGTATCTATAGATCATTATAAATATAATGATATGCTCATGGATCAGTAATAGGAACTTGATTACAGGCCTTATTTCAGCAGCGATGGAAGGTAATGATATGCTGATATCATCTGAAGAAAATCATACTGGGTTACTAGGAATGTTAAGACTACTCATTGTAAAGTGCAACACAGGAGCATAGCTGTGTGTACAAAACATGTCTGTAGCAATACTGCAATTTATTTTCTTTAAAATATACACATCACATTTTAGAGTTAGCATACTCTCTCCAAAGAAGCTTCATTTCCTTTTGTTTGACAAATTGAATAATAGAAGGTATGAGTAGAAACTCTTTTAGCAACAAGTTTAATGTAGCTTTTATCTATGCATTAAGAGAGAAAACCTGACAACTTATGCCCGTGAAATTCCCCATCAGACTGTTTGTAAAAGAAAGTCAGTTCGCTCAATAACCTGGCTTCGTTCCATAAAGATAGGTTGGTTTTGTCTGTTCAAAGTTCTCTTTGTATTTCATTTGGATAGTTTTCTCGTGTTGAATCCTGAACAGATGAGTAACATTGTTGTGCGCTGCTCCAAAGCTGCCAACTTTGGCTACAGGAGTGGTTGCATTTCATTGATAAATGAAATGATATCAGTAAACTGTGGCACTCAGTAAAATCTAAGCTCTGATGGACCTTACCTTGTAAGGTAATATAAGTACCTGAAGTATCTCCAGATAATCAGTCTTCTTTTGGACATCTCTGGGATTTATAAACCCTCAAAATGCTGAGTTTTGTTTATATGTAAATTTAGCTTAGAAAATGTCCAGAATATTGTCTAAGATACCACAAAGTCGAGATAAAAAAACTAAGATAAAATCAGATGCCATAAAATCAAGATAAAATACTAAGGAATTATTTTCCACATTGCTATAGTGAAGAGGAAGATCTAAACAGACTTCCTCCTGCTTTATCATTTCTGTAAAAAAGAAAAACCTTAATTTCCCTGATTGCAAATATAATTTAAATGCAGAGAGAAGAAAGGAACAGATATGCTAAGCAGGCTTGGAGTGTGGTCTTTAATTACTGCAGTAGATTCACATTCACTTCACACCCTTGATTACACATGTACTTTCCTGTCACATGTGCTTCTCTTTCTTCTCCCCTTCCTCTCCACGTTTCTCCCGGACGTCTTAAGAAAAGACGGGAGACTGAATATGTAACCAACATGCACTCTACTGGGTTAAAGGCCGTTTAGTGTGTTTAGCTGTTCGGAGGTGTATGAATATCATTTGCATGCATAAGTTGTCTGCAGGAGGCAGGTTACAACAAACCAATGAAGGAACGTGCAGCATTCCATAATTACGTAAAATGCAGTTATTTAACAGGGTGACTTGGGTAAGGAAAAGAAGATGTTTTAAAACACTAACAGTTTTAGCAAAGGAGGGCAACACAGCAATATTTGTTTGTTTTTAGACTCTATTAGAAGATATCCGTGCCCCTGAAATGGCTATCTAGCTAAATTGCATACTTGTTGGGCAGCATGAGCCATGAAACGTTTTGTACTGTAAAAGCCACTTTGAGAAATCTGCATACGTGCGCACAAAGGAAGTCAGTCCTGTACATGGGGTTTCTGTGCAGCTGAAGCACAGCTCCTAATTGGCAATATAAACCTAGCAAACAAAGCTTGCACTGGTGCCATTTCATTAAAAGAGGAGTAGGGGCACCTGCAGAGCCTGGCATGCAGGAAGGGAGAAAACAAGGTAAATCTGTGCTTTCCAGTTTAAAGACTGGGTGCCTTTGTCTTCGAAATGAGGTTGGTGGGGTGGGTGTGTTCGGGTACTGCTGGGTGGGGGGAGATCTAGGAAGTTTTGAATTGATTATTCCACATAGGGCTAACAACACTTATTAATGCAGACAGTTGTAATTATGCCCATGATATCATTAGCACAACAGCTGGACCCTACTGCTGAGGAGACATGATGTGAGTTTTTAATGAGCTTAACTCCGGTGTAAGTTTAATAAATGTTATGAAAGTACAATATAGCTAAACCTGATGGCTAGATTGAGCCTGGGATTGTGCCAGCATCTGGTAGTGTAAACCCTGCCACATGGATCCCATCCATAACTAAAGAGAAGACAGTGAGACAGAAACTTCCTTTGTGGTCACGGAAGGGGCTGAATGCCAGCAGGGGGCAGTCGCATGAAGCTTCCTGGGAAGACTAAAAGCTGGAAGTAGAGCCTTATTTTGAATAAGCGCCTGGTTAGTTCTCAGAAATGGTGCTCAGCCTCTGGCGTACAGTCCAGATCTGGCCTGCAGAAGTCATTTCATCAGGCCTAAGGGGCTCCCCACAGGTCCAGAAGTTCAGTGGCAGCATTCATTGCTGCTCCCCTGATGCCAAATTTCTGGACCTGTGGGAAGCTCTGCAGGAAACCCTGCGTGCCAGGTGACATAGTCTTGCATACCGTATGGGGCCAGCATGCAGGGTCACTTTGTGCCTTAGCTGTGCCTCCTTGCTTGCTCGTGCCTCAGCTATTCCCCTCTCTGGCTCCAGAGGAGATGTGTGAGGTATTTTTACCTGGAAGTGGTTATAGCTGCCATGTCCATGCTGTGGCACCCTTGAAAGGGTCTTGTAGCACCATGGGGTGCTGTTGCAGCCCAGTTGAGAACCATTGTTGTAGCCCAAAACCTCTTGACTAGGTATGAGCAATTTTGTTTTAAACTAATACTTTATAGCCTGAAAAAATGAGATTTCTATTGTCATGAACACTGCATGCCCCTGGGGGTTGGGGGCACAGCGAGCTCCTGCAGGCGGCCGCAGCACTGTCAGGGGGGCAGGGGGCAAGTGCCACCTGCCCGCAGGCGCCATTGACAGTGTCGGTGGCGCCTGTTCACAGGGAGTGCACTGCCACGCTCAGGGGGTGCACGTGCACCCCCCGCGCGTCACCAATGTCTATTATAACTATTTACAAACCATTGTAACTATTTACAAATACAGGTCTAATAGGCAGAGGTGTTGATGATGAGGGAGGTCCTCCCCTTTGAGCTAGTAGCCAAAAGTTAGGGCATTAACCCAGGTTGTGGGACACCCAGGTTTAGTTCCTTCCTCTGCCTTGGGGGATCTGAACCTAAATCTCTCACCAGTTAGGAAAGGGGAGGGGGCTGGCCTCAAATCTTTTCCTTTGTTCCTTTTTCAGTTTGCATGGAATACTTCAGCATTGGCTGAGCTAGAGAGAGAGCACGACTGCGTAGTCTGGTGGCAATGGAATGGGAGGGAGTGTGTTGAAGACAATAACCAGTCAGCACAGGACACAAAAAAGCTTGGTTCAAACTATATAAAGTTCTCTGAACATCCAAAGTTCCCTTCTTTGACTGCTTCTGCAGCTGCTTCCATCAGCTGGAGTCTCTGGATGATTGCTGCCTCCACTTTTTTCACAAGGACAAATGGCATGGGGGAGAGGATGTAGTGATTACCAGGTTTAATAAACACAGGCAGAGGTGAATAAAAAGAAAGTTTGGTTTT